CTAGACAGACAAAATTGTACAACAAGGAATAAAGACTTTTTTTCACTCTTTCACTAGTTAAAAAAAATAATAATGATTACATTCTTTGAGTTGTACAACCATTCTCACCCTCTTTTCTCAGAGGTTATTCCCCCATTAATGTAATACTGCCCCCTAAGGGTTCTATCTAATCTTTTATGTTGCTACTGTCAATATGATCCTGCATAGTTCTTAAAGGAGCTCTGGTAGCCTAGTGCCTGCGGCACTTGACTGCTAACCAGAGGGCTGGCAGTTCAAACCCACCAGCCATTCCTTGGAAGGAAGGCTGGGCAATCTACTTCCACAACCACTGCCTCGGAAACCCAAAGAGGGATCACTATGAGTTGGGTCCGATTCAACCGCTCATAACAACAACAGTTCTTAAAGAACATACTTCTCAAGGCAGACTTTTTTTTTTTAAAAACAAGTTAAGCTATACTACTGTTTGGTTTTATGAAGATATCGGGGGATATTTCAGGTTAAAGGTTTAAAGACTATCTCAGGACAACAGTGTAGAGGTTCATCTAGCCTCTATGGTCCCAGAAAGTACTTGGAATTCTATTCTGAATTTTCGCCCTTCTAATCAGGATTCTTCTTAAGAATTTTTGATCAAGAATGTAATCAACGTACTGAACTGAACATGCAGAAACTGTTGAATTTTGTTGTGTACATTCTCAATGACAAAGTAAATTTTAAAAAGAATCTATATACAAACTGTCCATATAAACTAAAAATAAATTATTTTAGGACTTCTAAAAAAAGCATTATCATCTCTTAATTTGGATAAATTATATTAAAGTTCAGCTAAACCAATTATTGCCAGCTACAGGTGATTGCTAAGTAAATTAACATCCATGGCCCCACACTGTGACCTTGGGGCCTATGTGGAATACCGCAAGAGCTAGGATGAGTGGGCGTCACAGCAAGGTCTCAGAGGCACGGGCTCCAGGATCTCAGTTAATGCAGGCGGGGGTGTAAGATGAATCACATTGGAAGGGCTTGGAGAGAAAGACACAGAAGGTAAAGCCAAAGGAGAGCTGGGCCTGTTTTCTATCTTAATCGACCAGCCTAATAAGTTCTGTCTCTGACAGGTGTTCCATTAGTCAAAGCTAACGGACAAAGGCCAGACTTTGTCAGGTACTAGAAATCCCTGCCTTCTTGCCAGATTTTCGTCTGAGCACTGTAAATTCAGTTACGTGTATTCTTGGAGATTCGATGGTTTCTTATGAGGTGCCAGACCCCTTTTTCCTCTTTCCTATGGTCAATGCTTTTTTCGCAGTCTCTTAATTTACTGAAAACCAATACGGATCTCAGATTCAAACCGGCAAAAATGAAAAACAAGAAAGTATACCAGTCCATCCTTAAAAGGATCGTGATCCACTACGCAAAACAGATCTCATTTCTGCAAGGGCCCCTTTTATAGGGAAATCAGCCCCTTTCAAAAGCGCCGTAAACAAAACCCAGGGCACAGCCTATGCTGTAAGAGTGAAAATCAGAACAACAACAACAACAAAAAAGCCAACCACGCAAAAAACCTCAAGAATAGTCAAACCGGAGGCCTGCTGTCCAATCAAGGTGTGGGGGCCTGGAATCAACCCCCAAAACCCAACCTGGGCCGAACCCGGCGCATCTTGGTATGCAGCAAGGCCTCGCAGGGGTAAGACAACCAACACCTCCACCTCCAAGCCCCGCGCGCAGCCGAGCCGCCCGGCTCCCGACGACCTCCCCTCCTCCTCCTTTGCCGGCCTGGCTCTTCCTATGGCGCCGCCGCTTGGCCGCGTTCCAGAAGGGGACCTGAAGGCTGCGAGTCCAGGGTCGCTCACCGGCACGCGAGGTGCTGCGCAGTCCCGGGCTGCTCCGCGGCGGACAGGCCCCAGAATGGGTCAAGAAGTCCGCAGTCCCGTGTTCGAGGGTTGGAGCTCAGGAGGTACAGCGCCAGGCCGGCAGGACGGGGGAGGGGCAGCACAAGCACAGAATGGGCTGAGGCCGGCCCTACTGCAACCTGCGGCCGCGCCTGCGCAGAGCGCTCCCGAAAAAACGCCAACAGCGAGCAAGACGCATGCGTGTTTTTTAGGCTTTCCTGGAACCAGTAAGGGCCGGTCTGTGATGATGCTTTTCGGGTATCGTCAACCATTTCTCCAGAATTAAGAGTAATATATGGACACTTTAATCCTGGAAGCTTTAAGAACAGCCCCTCTTCCTTCCTTTCCTAACAGTTTCCTCGCAAAACGGGAAACATGCAGGTCTTCTTCTGACAGCTTCTGTGCCAATGTTCTGGGAATGGCCTCTGACACCTGCCTGAGACACAAGTCTGGCAGCCAAAAAGTTGGGTCTGTTTTAACTTAGAACCTCTTGACTATTAGGAAAGGGAAACTGCAAGAGAATGGGATCCCTGGTTTTTGTTTTTTGTTTGGCTTATGCTTTCTCTCTTTTTTTTTTTTTTTTTTGGTTAGTGGCCTGATGGTGATCCTTAACTCAGTGGTTAGCTGTTGTTGTTTGTTGTTATTTGCAGTCGAGTCGCCCCGACTCATAGCGACCCCTCCTTGGGTTTCTGAGGCAGTATCACTACGGAAGTAGGATTGCCCAACCTTCCTTCCGAGGAGTGGCTGGTGGGTTTGAACCGCCAGCCTTCTGATTAGCAGTCAAGTGCATTAGGCACCGTGCCAGTGGTTAGCTAAACTCTGCTAAATCCCAGTGCCTTGTGTCATGGTTGCGACTTGGCGCTACTCTCTCCAACATCTCTAAGCCTAGGTTTTCACATTTAGAAAATGAGAATAGTAGGAGCTGTTTTGAGGGCTACATTAAGTTGTAATAACTATGAAGAACAGACTATGCTCACTGCCTGGGGAGAAAATAAAATTTAATAAATGGTAGTGATTGTTGTTATAGACACAAGATACATAGTATACAAGGAAGGAACCGTAATGGTAATTTACTTTTCTGTTCTGACAGGATAACATTGTACATGGCCAGTGGAATGCAAAGATATATAAGAGTGGTAATATAACATGAAAGGTAAGAAAATACACCATTAGTATTTTCAGAGATTATAAATCCAGGTTGGTTAAGTTGTGGGATAATGAGGACAATACTGGTGAAGATGTAAATTCTACATTTTCTGGTGGGACAAGCAATGTATATCAAGAATCTTAAAATACTTACATTCTTTGGCCCAGCAATTCCACTCTTAGGAAACTTTTCTAAATCTCATAACAACTTTACAGTCATTTATGTACAAACCATTTTTGCATAAAAAATTTAAAGGTCCAACAAAGGGTATTAATTAAATCATTTTTCATCCTGCTTTATTTAGCTCATATCTTCCAAAGTGGGGGGAAAATGGAAAAAAAAAAATCAAAACTTCCCACATTAACATTGTTTGATTTCATATTAGCTACAACAAATCAGGATCATTAAAAAAAAAAAAAACAACTCCAATATGTTGTTTGAAAAGCTACCTTAGGAATGGATAACCAAACTATGGTACATACATACAATGGAATACTATGCAATGCTAAAGAATAATGTAGAATCTGCAAAACACCGCATAACGTGGATGAACTTGGAGGATATTATGCTGAGTGAAATGTCAATCACAAAAGGACAAATATTGTATTAGTCCGTCATTGTAAAAGTTAAGGAAAGGTTTATCTATAGAAGGAAATTTTCTTTGTTGGTTACCAGGGGTGGGAGGGCAGTGGAGGGAAGGCTGTTAGATAGATAGAGATAAGTATTGATTTGGGTGAAGAGAAGGGCAATGTACCAAAATGTGAGTGACCAATATGGCAGCATTGAGGATGAGAAAGACATACAGAGGTACATGGGAGGTACAGACAACAAATATGAACCCTTTTGCACATACAGTACTGCGTTGTCAGTGAAGGCAAACATGGGTATATGGGTGGATAGAAGGATGGACAGGTTGAACTGTTAGGTATGTCTATGAAATGGGGAGTGTATCCAAGAACATATATAGGATTGGCAGACAATGGTCTTATAAGTTTATGTGAATGATCAGAACTCCCAAGCGTATAGTAGAGCTGACAAGGGGCAAGGTTGTGTTCACTGCTTGGTCACAGCCAGCTACCCAGAGGGACCGAGTAGTTGAACCTGCAGGCTTGGGACATAGTCTCAGGGGACATCAAGCTCAATTGGCATAACATACTATACAAAATATTGTTCTACCTCCTACTTTGGCAAGTAGCAACTGGGATCTTCAAAGCTAGCAAGCTGCCGTCTAGATGCAACGATGGGTCTCTCCTCGTCCAGAGCAAAGAAGAATGAAGAAAACCAAAATTCATGGAAACAATTAGTCCTAGAGACTGGTACACCATCTGATCTGCAGCCTATACAGCTATGAGACCAGAAGAACTAGATGGTGCCCGGCTACCACTGTCATCCACTTGGAAAGGGATCTTTGTAGGAGATCCTTGGTAGAGAGGGAGAACAATGTGGAACAAAACTCAAAATGATTTGGAGAAAAAAAAAAAAGTGGGGACCAAGTTTCCTGGTCCAATAGAGCCTGGTGGAACCACTGAGACTATAGCCCCTAGCTGCCCTTCAGGTCTGGAATTGAACCCACACCTGTTGTTTCCAGCTAAACAAAATACAGACATATGAGTTGAACATTTACCTCAAGTAGATACACTCTTTGAAGAGAACAATCATGGGAGAAAGAATGGCTGCTTCTGTACAGGGAGAAAAGCTGTAGAGCGCATGGGTAGAGTATTAGATTTAGGAGCCCGACTGCATGGTGATAAGCCCCTGCCTGACCGGGATTTATTAACAGAGTCAATGGAATAGTGAGCAAGACATTTGACTTCTTTATACAGATATATCTGTAAAATGAAGCTGGTAATAATACCTACCTGTGATGCAGTGAATTACTTGGTATGGCTTTTCTAGCCATGGTCTTTGTGACTTCCACCAAATGACTGGGTGGAACTACATAAAGTGCTTGTGGAAGTATGTAAGGTGCCCACCAACGGGATTGGATGGCTTGCTAATAAAGTAAGTAAGGCACATGGTACCCTTGTGGAGGTGGGACTATGCAAATTAGGTAGATGGAACACTAATGTGAGGATTGGTTAATTTTACCATCTTGCTAGGCTTAAAATGAGCCATCCCAGAGGCAGAAAGGAAGGATCTCACTGCTATCAAGACAGAAAATGCAGCTAGGAGGGGAGTACATTCTTGGACTCAAAATCCCTGTACTGGCCCTTGTTGGTAGAGAGAAGGCAGAGCAACAGCAGCAGCAGCAGCAGAGGCAGCAAAACCAAGAGACTGGCATGAGATGGAGCAGCAGGCTTGTCTGCCCACAGAGTGAGAAAGCTGAGTGCCTTTGGGCAGGAGGCTTGCTGGCAGATTGGGGTGCTCCAGTGGCAGAGGTAAAAGAGCTTTGTAACTTTTGCTCAAGCAGAGCAGAGGTCAGGTCAAGAGGCTGAGAGCCAAAGAGAGGCATGCCTATGGACATGGCCAGTGGGAGGCTGTCCTGATCAAAGAATTATAATCCTGAGTGTTCCTGAACCTGAATTGTAACCTGTTCTTTTCCTAATTAACCCCGTAATTGTATTGTCTTTGAATTCTGTGGCCATTGCAATGAATCATTGAACCTATCAGGTAAGTAGAGTGCCATGGGAGGGACGGTTAGTGTCAGAATTGGCAAAAAGGCTGAAGGGTGTCGGTATGTTTCCTGGTCTTAGGAATCAGCTTTGGGCTGATACTGCTTATGGTGATTCTGCCTCCCCCTTGTGAAGTTAGAGGAGTACAGAGGACACTGCCACCCCCAAACCCCTGTTATACTACCTCACAAGATTGTGGTCAAGAGCCTCACCTGGTAGGCACTCAGTAAATATTATGAGAAAATTACTATCTATGCAGTAATGAAGTACATTAAAGATAGATATTAAACACTTGGTGGATTTGCTCCTGTACTTCCATTTTGCGTTATTAAAGCACATTTTGAGTGGAAACAATTTCCCAAAAGCTACCAATTATTTGGTTAGCAATTATTTACTAAGTTCTAAGTTCAGGATGAGTGTATGTTCTATCAAATATGAAGATCATGTAATTTTAAGAGTACAGGGTAACTTTGAATACCCATTGCTACGGAGTTGATTTCAACTCATAGTGACCCTATAGGGCAGAGTAGAA